AAAAAAATCCTAGATATAACAGTGGGTTGGGTTTAGTATATGTTTAATGGATGGAATAAAAGCAATCAGTTGGTTTGAGGATGGGCAGTGGGCTGGGTTTGGATTTAATATGTATGGGTTTGGTCAGAGTATTGGGCTGGGTATCGGTTTAATATGTCGGTGTGGTTTGGTTGTGTCTGGACAAGAAAGGTGTGGTTTGGCTCGGATCTTGGATTCCGATTTGAAGAGGAGCTGTCTGTATTGTATCAATAGTCGGTGCAGTGATTTCGAGTCAAGTGATTTCCGTCAAATCGGTGCAGGCTGTCTTCTACCCGGTTAGTCCCTCCTCCTTCTCCGAGCTTTCAAGGCCCAAAAATCAGCTGTGATGAGGCAGAGTATTGTATTGGGTATTATATTGGGTATTATATTGNCAAGGCCCAAAAATCAGCTGTGATGAGGCAGAGTATTGGGTATATTGATGCAGGTAGTGTATTGGGTATTGTATTGGGTATTATATTGTTGTTCGCCGCCTTGCGGGTCAGACTTACTTGGTCTGAGATGTTTGTTGCTCGGTCTTGATCCTTGGAAGTTCTGGGGATGCTTTGATGTCTGGCTGTTCGGTGTTCGGTGATTGAGTGGTTTCGCTGGGCAGTCGGTGTCAGTTTGAGTGGTGGTTGTTTGGTGTGGTTGCTGGGTGGACGACGATGAAGGTGACTCGGTGATTGATTCCGCCGATACGAGGTTTGCGGTTATGGCGAGGTCCGAAAGTAGATGTAAGAGGGGGCNAAGTGGAAGTACCCATAGATGTCTCAACGGTAGAGGTGTCAACAGTAGGGTTCTCAATTCCCTCAGTAGTAGCCATNAAAGTAGATGTAAGAGGGGGCTTGAATGTGAGAGTAGTAGCAGCACAGGGTGAAGTGAGACGGAGGGGGATCCTTGCTGGCTGTCGGAGGAGCAGCGGCTGGGTCTGTTTGGTTATGACGATTGGTGGAGGTTAGGGTTAGGGTTAGTGGCTCTGATACCAACTTGAGATAGTTGTGAATGAAAAGGGATACTCAAATTAAGAGTAGAACCCCGTATATATATCCAAAAATAATACAGAGTGACTTAAACATCCTTGTAGTTTAGGCAAAATATAAAAAACATAGTAAGGGTAAAAAAGGGAAAAGAAATCCTTATAAACCTAGACTATCTATACTCCAACAAGACACAATAAGTCAGAATAATATTAAAGAAAAACTACTACATAAAAGATCTTTATATAGTAAGGTAAAAAAAAAATAAACAGACTAAGCTAGGGCAACATAAAAAGAAAACAAANAAATAGAGAAAACCATGAAGTAACGTGATCATTTAGTTGCGAAGTTAGGTTCAATTTTGTAGAAGTGAAGTAGGTGGTTCGAGGTATTTCGAGCTACAAATATATCGATCGGTTAAAAATTGGGTAAGTAGTTTATACATAATATACATTCTTTTAATCTCTTTGCAAAGAGAACATGATTGATATTCTAATCGTGGTATTGACTAATTTTAAGTTTCGATATGATATTCTGTTCAATTGTAAGTATTTTGATATTCCGTCGTGTATTTCGTGTGACATATCGTGGATCTTGTAATCTTGGTTTTGATGAAGTATTTGGGGACTTACCAACATTGTGTGTGAGGTACACTCAATGGCAAGGTTATAGTAGTGTTAGTGGTCCTATGGGGTGTATGTGAATGATTTAAAAGGATCGACTGATGCATAGTCTATTGTCGATACAGACCCAGTATAAAACCACGAGTATTTTGGATATTCGAATGTTCGAGTTCGTTGACATGTTAAATATATTTATGTTCTATGAATTGTCATATTAATTCATGTGTCATCAATTGATTATCGATTCGTTGATAGATTATTGTTATGCCCGTTGACTTCATATATTATGTTTTCAATTACTTACTAGGCCTCCCAAACTCATCCCCCATTTACCCTCTTAGATGCATGTTAAACTTAAAACAAAATGGGTGGAGGACCGAATAAATCAACGAATTGAAGATTTTTGATTGATTGTAATTCAATTTGTTATTGGAGGTCAACAATTGAAGATTTGAAATTGATTGTAATTAATTTTACTATCAAGAATATAACCAAGAATGAATAAATTGAATATTCATTAAATATTCAGAATCACTAAACTCCTCAAAAATATTATGAAATTGGATCTAAGTTTTACAACCTATCATCCAACATTTTCCATTTGTGCCCTCCATTTCATACCATTGTATCTAGCTTGACCGCAAGAGCATTTAATATTACACCAATTAGTAACCCCACTCAAGGATCAAGATTTTGTTTTTTGCGTATAGTTTCGGTCTACTCGGAAACATAAATGTTCGGAAACAAAAAATCATCTTGAGAAGGAAACCGAAACATGTCGGTCGTTCTAGTTGAAAAGAAATGAAAAATTCGATCATTGGCTTCATTGTAGATAGAAGAAACATGAAACCATTTGACAAGCCTATGGCTTAAGAAAATAGTGTGTGTGTGTGTGTGTTTTTGAGAGAGAAAGCGATTTGAAGTATAAGACTAAAAACAAAAATATTTGGAAATCTGACAACTATATAATCCAGTGAGAGAGGTAGAATACCTCAAAGGTCAAGCAGAACTTATCCATCAAAGGAGATAGAAACTGAGCTAACTCCCGGGGTAGAAAACCAAGCATTTTGCTGCATCCACAATCTGCAGAAAGAACCTGGCTCACAGGACCATGAAATGTCTTAAAAATAGTCAAACAAATTGAAGTCACAGTGAATAGCCGTGTCAAATAAATAAACCTTGACAGCATTTGGATCCTTGACATTATCAGGATCTCTCAAGAGAAGCACGCTTGCCCCTGTAGTTAACTCCACTTCATCACCAAACCTACGGCCAACAATGAAAGTTTCAAGAAATAGCCCAGATATGTCATCTACATTTTTATCTATATCATATGTAGACATCTCATTTTCAGGGAGCAGTGAAGCCAAGTCAACCCGGTAGTTGATTCTGTCATCAGTGACAGGGTTTTCTGTTGAACCAATTCTGTATGTTTGCATAACTTCTGAATTTAAGGGCACTTCACATCGATTGTTGGTGTATGCTTCAAAGCCTCGTACATCATCTGATTTACGATTTGTAACACAGAGACTACCGTTGTTCGGACCACTTTGACTGACAGTAGTGCTTGCATCATCCAACTCGATAGCATGAATCTTAACTTTTGATCTTGAGCAGAAGTTTAGCTGAAAAAGGGTCCGCTGGCTGAATTTGCGCTTAGTCCCCCTAGCCAGGCATGCATCTAAAACCATCAATTTTAACCATGAGAAACATAGAACATATAATTGAGACCAACGGAAGTATGAGCATAATCAAAACTTTAAAATATTAACTCAGAAGAGCAGAACATAAAACGGAGATTTCTCAGATCCATAATGCAGCCCCATTTTTCTCCTTTAAATTGTTACTATTGATAAATAGCACAGAAAGGCGAACAACTTAACATTCAACTGCTTCAAAAACACCTCAAATCCAAAACTTAAACCCATCAGCTCAGCAAGTGTTACTGCCTGTTTGAGCACTTGGTCTTTCCCGGATTAAGAACTTAAATTTTAACTGATCAAAAGAGAATAAAGAGACCTTCAGTATGAAGGAGTTTATATTACTGTAACTTGTTCCAGACAAATGCCACATTGTCTCTACGATGCTCTAGATGAAATAGGTTAATAATCTGCGAACAGGAAATTATAATTTATTCAGTTAAAACCAGCCCAGTACAAATCACGTTCATAGCATTGTAATTAAAATCCCAATCCAGACAAACTTATGATCCGGTTTAGGCAAATCAATCTGAATTTCTTGAAAAATCCCAAGCTCATATGATCTTATTAGATCATGATCCAGATCTTTTAGAATCGTAGAATCTCAATCCCAAGTGTGATTTTACAGATCCAAGTTGTTTGGTTTATTTGCTAAGCACCTTTATTTATTGAGCTGGCCTGTTTCATTCATATTTATTGCTTTAATAATTGAAGATCCAGTGATGGAGATCGTAAAGGGATTGGATGGACATAAATTTGAAGATTATAATTTTATTTATTTCTATAATTTATTAGAGCTAATAATCATCCCATAGGAGATTTAAATAGAATTTTAGCTATAGAGCACTTTTTATTTGGGTAGGACACTTGTCCGATAAATAATTGTGTAATCCCAATTATTTGAATTAGATTTATGAATATGAATTGATTAATTTCTTTACAAAAATTTGTGTTTCTTAACCGATTCATGTAAGAAAAGCTATAGAAATTTGTCCTCGCTAACAAAAACTCTCTTCATTTGTTTGTCTCTCTCGCATAGAAAAGTTTTCTCTCGACAAGTGAACACTACAAGGTGTGTCCCATTTTTTTCTCCTCCACGTCCTTTTTTTGTTGTTGGATATAGAATAGACAAAATTTGTTACTCAACACAAAAAAAAAAAAAAAATTACTCAATAGTCTCTTGTTCAAATTCTCCAATGTCTCCATTTCTCCTTTAAATTTAAGATTCCAATTCTCCTATTTCTCTTCACAAAATCTTACAAGATTAGCAATTCATCTCTGATTTTCTCCTTTGTCAATATTCAAATAATAGTTTCTCAAGTTTTAATATCACTAAGGCTTATATATTTGTCATAACATTTATACATTTTACATATGCTTTAGTTCTATTTCTAAGAGTTTTGTATTGTTATATATATTTTAGTTGCATTTTTTTTAGTTTGTAAGATCTTACAATTGTCATTCCGATCCATCGATCCCGATCCTTTAGCCTCTCTCATCGATCTAAGATAGAATCCCCATTTTAAAAACTTGGTGCTTTTGGGCTTTGTGACTTGCTGCGACTGCGAAGGGTCCAACGAAAAACCATCTAAAAGTTCTAAAACACCTTGGGGCATCAAAAAATAAACAGCAAAGAAGACATGTGCTTTGTTATCCAAGGCCTAATTCAGGGTTCAGCCTCATTTCCCTACAAAAAGTGGAAAGATCAAAGCAGAAATTGATTCTCTTTCATGAAACGCAAAGTTGAAGAGGTAGATAAAATGTTATGTCATTTGTAAATGCATATATTTCAGAACGATAATTCATAAGAATTGGCTTTGATAGCTTTCGTTCATTTTAGAAGCCAGGATGACAGTCGACTTTATTTCAGTTTCAAATAATAAACCCGACTTTCCCTCCAAAAATAAGTTGTCTTGTGTTGTTGCTGAATCCATTTTCAAATAAGCGTGTATAGCATATCAATCTGAAAATGGCTAACCTTGCTTTTGTTCCTCACTGGATGGTGGAAGAGGCAGCCACTAAAACTACAATAAAAGCCAAGCCATAGTATCGCATCATGACAGAAGAGACCATCGTCCTATAATCCTACCTACATGGTNCCATCTGAAAATGGCTAACCTTGCTTTTGTTCCTCACTGGATGGTGGAAGAGGCAGCCACTAAAACTACAATAAAAGCCAAGACATAGTATCGCATCATGACAGAAGAGACCATCGTCCTATAATCCTACCTACATGGTCATCTTCCTTAACATACACTCAGCCCTTGTCAGCAAGAATTCTCACCGAACCTAACACTATGTCATCTCCAAACACCGTAACTCTTCACCTTGTGAAGATGTTAAGATGTTCAAAATCCACAAGTCAATTACAGACCTGAAAAACCACTTCACAATTAACTCTTTCAGCCACGTCAGTTCCCAGTTCTGACAATTAGATTTTCTCTTTCATTGAATTTCACCTATTAGATGATCAATCTGGGGCCTTTGTTTCATTTGCCTGATCTGCCTTGTCTCTCTCTTTTTTCAATCCCTGCCTTTCATTCACATATAACAGTAAAGTAGTATTATGGCTGTGAATTATTGCTATTGCCTTTAATAGTTCCATTTTATCTCCACCATCTCCATTGGATGTTTAATCCATTTTAACTAGACAATTCTTTGCTAGTTTCAGTACATTTTTACAAACCTCCCCCCGGATATGGGATGAAAGGAGATGTTGTTCTCTTGCACATATTACTTGAACTTGGACCAGACATACAGATAAAAACAGCATTTTTACCAAAATATGCATTTCTAGCTAATCTACTTCTGTGGATTCCCTTTTCCTTCTAGGACTAAATAATCACTTCCATCAATGATCTCAAAAGCTCAAATCCACAATAAATATACATGAGAAAACAACTGTCAAACAATAAATTTCAACAATTTCCAAAGTATGCGACTCAACAAGCCAACCTAGTATGGAGAATTTGATCAAAAACCACATCATATATCTATGTAAATACACACATTTCTGACATTATTTGCTTATTTAATCGAAAAACGACAAGACCCAGACCAACAAGTGCTTACCCAAATGAGAATTGATCACGTAATCTTCACCCCGAACCTTCTTCCCACAAACAGGACAAGAAACCCATTCAGAACCAGATACCTCGATCCCAGTTTTGCCTCGATCCTCTTTTGATTCTCCATCACCGACGGCCAGGTCAGATCCACCATTCCCATTTTTTTTCAACAGATTTAGTGATCCCTAAATCAAACAAACAGACAAATCAAAATTACATACACATACATCTATACTTAGAGACAGAGAGACAGAGAGAGAGCGTACCTGGATAGGAGTGGAGAGAAGAGATTGACGGTGGGGGAGGAATCTCCGGCGTTTGCCGACCAATCTGATTAAGCTTTCTCTTCCGGTCAGCATATTAGAAGGAGAGAGTTCCAACTTTGGGGTTTTGAGAGAACTATGAGGTGTGTAAATTGGAAAACATCCCGCCAATTCGGAGCTCGTCCCGCCTAAAGAACTTAATCTTATGGGCCAAGGCTGGGCCCATCAATTGATCAGTTTTTATTTCGGATCAAGTTGATTTCCAATTCCATTAATTAAATATAGATTAATATTTTTAGGGCTAATCTTAACTTGCACCCCCAAAAGATTACTTAAATTTTAATTTATACCTTTAAATTTTAAAAATATCAATTTAAACCCTGAAAATATAAATTCGTATCAATGTGCACCTGAGACTAACTTTGTGTATTTTTTCATTAAAAAATTTTGGGTTAGTTATAAATCATACCCTCCAACTTTAAATATTTTATATTTATGATCCAAATAAAATTTAATTCATTAATACTAGTTAAATAGCTCTCAGTTATCTCGTATCATAATGTATTTGAATCATGTTTGAGTCAATAAAAAATATTTTTTAAAATTTAAAAAGAAATTATAACATATTTATTTTTTTCCTACAATACTCGTTAAATAACTATCTTTTGTCTACAGTTAGACACAAATCTTTTGATTATTAGATCAAATTAAAGTTAGATACTAATAATATAACCGTAGATAAAAAATNAGGTATTTGAATCATGTTTGAGTCAATAAAAAATATTTTTTAAAATTTAAAAAAAAAATTATAACATATTTATTTTTTTCCTACAATACTCGTTAAATAACTATCTTTTGTCTACAGTTAGACACAAATCTTTTGATTATTAGATCAAATTAAAGTTAGATACTAATAATATAACCGTAGATAAAAAATAGTTATTTAACAAATATTATAAACAAAAAATTGGTATTTTTTAATTTGTAAAAAATATAAATAGCATTATATGAATTATCATAAAAATTAAATATAAAACACAACGCAATTGATCCGACACGAAAATGTTATAATATGATATAATTGAGAGTTATTTAACGAGTATTAATTGATAAATTTTTTTTTGGATCATAAATATAAATTATTTAAATTTTGAGGGGTGTAATTTATAATTAACCCAAATTTNTTAATTTGTAAAAAATATAAATAGCATTATATGAATTATCATAAAAATTAAACATAAAACACAATTCAATTGATCCGACACGAAAATGTTATAATATGATATAATTGAGAGTTATTTAACGAGTATTAATTGATAAATTTTTTTTTGGATCATAAATATAAATTATTTAAATTTTGAGGGGTGTAATTTATAATTAACCCAAATTTTTTTAACTGTAAAATTGATGGCAGTTAGTCTCAGATGCACATTAATACGTATTTGTATATTTCAAAATGTAAATTAATAATTTTNGTGTGTAATTTATAATTAACCCAAATTTTTTTAACTGTAAAATTGATGGCAGTTAATCTCAGATGCACATTAATACGTATTTGTATATTTCAAAATGTAAATTAATAATTTTAAACTTTGAGGGTAAAATTTGATATTCGAATGATCTTTTTAGTATGTAAGTTGAGATTTTGCCTGTTTTTTATCGATAATTTAAATTTAAATTAAAATCTCATCTTGTTACATTGTATTTTATGAATTCAAATTTTAACGGATCAATATTCGATCGAATTATAGATAATTTGAATTATATGTATATATTTGTATTAAATTATGAAGGAATTAAGTTATTATTTGATAAAATTATATNTTATCGATAATTTAAATTTAAATTAAAATCTCATCTTGTTACATTGTATTTGATGAATTCAAATTTCAACGGATCAATATTCGATCGAATTATAGATAATTTGAATTATACGTATATATTTGTATTAAATTATGAAGGAATTAAGTTATTATTTGATAAAATTATATTAAATAGGCTTATTGGATCCAATATCATATTCTTAGCGGGTCGCATACAATCTATGAAACTAAAAATCGTTGGATAATCAGACAATATTCAGATTAAAACTGTTTAACATTATTCGGATTCACTGCAATCCGATTCTTTGACAGGCTTAGCCAAGGCCTACCCACGTTGCTTAGATATTAGGTTCATGGGACAAACACTTATATGCTTGGGATGGACTCTGGAGGTGTAGAACCANTAATTCGGATTCACTGCAATCCGATTCTTTGACAGGCTTAGCCAAGGCCTATCCACGTTGCTTAGATATTAGGTTCATGGGACAAACACTTATATGCTTGGGATGGACTCTGGAGGTGTAGAACCATGAGCTATAATTTGGCAAGGCTGGGTTCAAGGGTCAGGCCCAATCCAGGTTGCTGAGATTTTGGGTTCATGGGTCAAGCACTTATTTGGGTTGGGCTATAGACAAGTTGTTTTGAATTTGAGCACTTCTCAATAGTATTGCTCTTTGTATCTATTGAGGATGTTTTAATCTTGTGTTGTATATCATAACTTTGATCAATCTTAATTTCATATCCGAATGTCATATTCACAAATGTGATATATATTTTTCTGGCGAATTTTCATTCTAGGTTGAAATGTGATAAATTTGGACTGGCCCCTTCACATGACCTAGAAAGGAAAAGAAGTTTGTGCTACAATAAAGCCTCTAAACTCCTCCCTTAGGACACTGTTGCGTTGCCCATGGGGACGGGGTAGCCGCGTCTATGGAAGGCAATTATTAAAAACAAAAATAATAAATCATTCTTTTCTTATTTCAAATAGGACTCCCCAATACGTGGAATATTTACTATTGGTTCTTCTTATTAATAATTTTTCATTCACAAAGAATTTTTGTTTTGCAACAATAGCACAAATTTTCATTTCAAGATCCAGTCAGACATTTTTTGGGAATAATTTGATTAAAATAAAAATATTGGAATTGAAAATTCCAGTAGGACGGCAGAAGAAGGCAGCCATAGATGACCAAAACAAAACTAATACTAGCCGACTATATAGCATAAAATATCCAAATTTTAAATGAAACTATCCCATCAATAAGTCGGTGACAAGATACTCAAAAATAATTGACTAATATTAATTTTGATATACTGAAAAATTACTAGAGAAATTTTCGGACGTGGTGATATTATATTAGTGTTATTTGTACAATTCAGGAGATATACAATCTATCTCTTTTTTCCTTTCCATGCACACCCCAACTCCCACCACTTGGGAAGTTAGGGAGAGGATATTGGAGTAGAGTTATAGAGATAAAATTGATTTTTTAGAAATAATTTTAAAATGAATGGTGTTTATATGAGGATTTACTTTTTTAAAGAAAAATGGAGCAACTAAATTTGATTGAAGGGAAATAATTTTTTGAATGGGTTGCCTTCATTCTGTATATAATTTTTTTGAATTTTTCAAATCGTTTTTCGTGAATTATTAAGCATCTCAAGGTCTTTTAACGGGCATAAACAAATCGTCCGACAACGCAGTGACTCATCGNTTGAATCGTTTTTCGTGAATTAAGCATCTCAAGGTCTTTTAACGGGCATAAACAAATCGTCCGACAACGCAGTGNTCAAATCGTTTTTCGTGAATTATTAAGCATCTCAAGGTCTTTTAACGGGCATAAACAAATCGTCCGACAACGCAGTGACTCATCGTTTGGCTAAATATAGATTCCACCTAAGAATTCCTATGTATAGAGGGAGGATGCACCAGCGTTCTTGTTATCCTTCAATTAATCTAATGTTTCGAATTCTTGATTAAACGAAGTATTACCCTTTTTCATTCAAAAAAAAAAAAGTGATAAATCCATGCTTTGTTCAGGTCAATCGTGTCGTGTCATATTGCTTAACAACTTGATAAGTCTCATCTTTACCTTCTCANGGATTCTTGATTAAACGAAGTATTACCCTTTTTCATTCAAAAAAAAAAGTGATAAATCCATGCTTTGTTCAGGTCAATCGTGTCGTGTCGTATTGCTTAACAACTTGATAAGTCTCATCTTTACCTTCTCATAAGAAATAGACAAATGCAAAAATTGCTTAACAACTTGAATTAATCTAATACATTAATGGATAAGATTAGACTAACTAAAAAAAGACAAATAAAAATGAAATAGATAATTTGACGTTGGCATGGTGAGCAGATATCTGAACTCTAAACCACTAAACGTGGAAGCAAAAGTATCGTTATGTAATGTTTACATCTTTTGATTCATTTTTGAATAAATAACGATGTAACACCATCGTTATTTAATAAATCTGATACTTCGTTTGGTATAATAGAAAAATGAAATGATAGAAAGTTAGAAAAATAAATAAAACATCATGTTTAGTAAGGAAGAAAAATAAAAAGGATGGAAAAGTGGATTGATTAACTTTCCTTCCAATTCACTAAAATCAATATTTCTAAAATCGGAAGGAAAGTGAATGGAAAATTTATTATTTATGTTGAAATATATCTTATTTGTCTATATATTATGTATACATTAATTTCATATAAAAATACAATAATAAAATATGTATTTATAAATTTATATTTTTTTAAAAATTTTAAAAAAATTTATAAAAAAAATTAAAATTTTAAATTAAAAAATATATTTTTTTTCATCTTAGCTAGGGATGAAAATTTTCGATTCAACACAATGACACGATTCAAACTCGACACAAATTTTATAATACGAATTTGAAAATGACTCGACACACGAACAAGAAATATAAAAAACTCATAATTTTATGACTCAACATGAATCTGACACAATTCGATTGTCACACTTAATCTTAGCCAACACAAAAAAAATTAAAAAAAAAATTAATCATTTTTTATTTTTTCATCCTTCCAACCAAACACAAAGGAAGGAAAACGTTTCATTCCTACTTTTCATCATTAATTTTTCGTTTGATAGGGAGGATGAAAAGTAGGAATGATGGAAACTAGGAGAGTTACACTTTCTATTTTTTAATGACGAAAAGTAGAAATGATACATTTTCCTTCTTTTTGTATTTGGTTGGATAAATGAAGAATAAAAATGACTTTTTTTTTTTATGTGCTAG